TTTTTTTTTTTTTTTTTTTTTTTTTTTTCTTCCTGGTACCAGGGATTGAACTCATGACCGTACACTTGCAAGGCAGGCACAGGGCCAGTGAGCTAAATCTCCAGCCCTTGATCCTCTTTTCTGATGATGGGAAGTGGTAGCAACCACAGCACCCAGTTAGCGACTCTATCGTAGGAGGAAACAAGCAATAATCTATAATGTCCTGTGTTGTGAAGTTAGGATATTTGGAAGTTTAAGTATATTAAATATATTTTCAACTTAAGATGAGTTTATTAGGACCATAAAAGCTGAGCAACATCTGTAGTGCAATCTCAGGTAAAATGCAAATCTCATCTTCATTAACTGAGGGAGCTTATTCTCAAAGGAAATTGTGGTTTAAAACCTTTCATAAGGCTAATACTGTGTTAGAAAAATTTAACAGGGACTAAGTAGCTGCCATCCTGAAATCTTGCCATTTACTGTGAGCACCAAGCCTTGCCCAGTGCTTCAGTAAAGACTGAAAGAGGACCGAGAGGAAGATGCCAGCAAGACACAGGAGATATCAGCATCCATGCAGAGGGCTCCGCAGAGGCGCGGAGGGCAGTCTTGTGTGCAGTGTCCCATGTGGCTCCTGACATATATGCATCAGTCCCTCTGCTTTCCCATTTGAGATGGAGCTGTTTGTGTTTAAAAGTGTGTGCTCAGGCCAGATGGGCTGGATTCAATCGTGAGTCCACCACTTACTATATATGTATATCGTGGGTGGGAGATTTAACCTGACTGTCATATTTTGCTCACCTGTAAAATAGATATATTAATAGTATCTACTTCATAGAATTGTTGAGCATCAAGTGCTAGCATGTGCTTAGAACAATGCCTGGATTGTAATAGACACTGAACAAATATTAATTGCTATAGCTATTGTTTTTACAAGTCAGCATAATCACTATCATTATTTAAAGTTGCACAGAAAGTAGCGTTCCTCTGGACTTGTTATTGTTTTCTGCTGAGTATAATAACTTGGGATTTTGCTTAGAACAGAATTTTATAAGAGGAAATATATGCAGGGCCATTGTTTGCACTTTAAAACAATATTGGCACAGTATGATTTTAGCATATAAAATTTTTAAATTGCAACTAAAACATCGTCCCTTCTATTAGACAGAAACTGTGTACTCACTGTGCTACTTTAGGGTGTTAATCTTCCAATCTGCCCGTCTCCTGCTCTAATAGCAAGGGATTTCACTGTATTTCATGACAAGGGCTTGCATGATCTCAGGCTGGCTCTGCAGCTGTGATTCACAGTGAGCTCAGGAAGCAGGATGGGATGCAGAAATGAGAGTGTGAAGAAGCAGGTACCAATGAAAAGACTGTCGCCTTTCCTGGTGATTCATTTCTGGTGCCAAGCCTTGCCAACCTTTGGCCTGCTGGATGGGCTTGTGGGATAACATGGAAAAGGCTGTGCTGTGTGCTTGTAAAATCTTCAAGTGCATGAATATGCCTGGCCTTGATGTAGAATGAATTGACCTTGCCTGAGCTCTTACTAGTGTTCTCTATGCTCGGTATGTATGGTAGTACCTTGGTTCACAAATGCTTTTGTTTGCAAATAATTTGGTTCACAAACAGCAGCATTTGGCAAATTTTTTGTCTGCAAACTCCACATTGGGGGACCAGGCCATCTTTCCTACATGAACATGAACTTGGCCATCTTTTCCAGTATTGTGGAACGAATTATGTTTGTGCCACTATCAGGACTTGTTGACTCTTTCTGTCAGCATTGTGAGATGGGTCTTCTCTCATCACTGTACAGCTGAGAAAACCAAAGCAGAAAGCATTTACATGTTGTGTCTTAGGTCACCAAGTTCTCAGTGTGGGTCTTGGCTTTGGTTACACACAGTCTCCAGGGCTCAGGACTCACCACTGTGCTGCAGTTGGAGTACCATGCATTCCATTTGCCTAGAACAGGCTATTTGATACTTTTGTCTCTGTGAATATTAATGGTGTCCCTTAAATTGGTATGCTAAATTATATAGTGTTCCTAACTGAACACCTACCTCAAGCTAGGTGATAACAGATCCTCTAGCAACTGCCTCTTTTGTATAACAACTCAATGAATTGAGTGGGATTTTCTTCACATATATCATCTTTCCTAAGTTTTTCACTGTGTGCATATATTCCTCATTATAGTTTGTAAGTGAGGATTTTTAGTTTTAGTGCATTGTATAGCTTTCAGAACATTTTCACATGCATTATTTCATGTGAGGCTCAGAAGAAGTATTTTATTTGTGTAATATAATAAGTATTTTGAAGATGAAAAACTGATACTCAAGAATATTACATGGCATATATGAAAGCCCATCACACATTTATTAGGCCATTATGTGTCTGGCACTGCATTAGATGCTGGGGATGCACAAAGAATTTAAACAGTGTGGTAGGATGAGTAACACCTCCCACTCCCAAATATATCTTCATTCTAATTTCAAAACCTTGTGTGCGCTTACAAAGCAAGGCGATTCTGCAGTTGTAATTAAAGTTATGATGTTGAAGTAGGAGATCATCCAGGCAGGCCCTATGTAAATAGTCACACGACATTTAAAAATACAAGAGGGAAGTAGTTGAGGTGGAGACCAAGTGATGCAGAGTGGGAAAGACTAGTGTGGACAATGTTTGCTTGAAGTCTTGTGTGGACACTGTTTGCTTCCCCAAGGTGAGGGAAAATGGGGACACGGTGCCCCCAGAGCCTTCAGAAGATTGCAACTCTGCTGACTCCTGGAGGTTAGCCCAGTGACCTGCATTGTATTTCTGACCCCCCAGAACTGTGAAAGTAGGTCAAGAGCTTCACTCACAAGGCTGCCTCATCTGTGTCCATCTGTGCAGTCTTTATTTGCACATTTCACACCAGTGGTGTGTTTGGGCACTGCCCAGGATTCCTCAGAAGCCATGTAGTATGTATGCTGAACTTCCTAAAAGCCTAAGTATTCTGGACTTCAAGACACAGGTAGGCCTGGGATTTCAGAAAAGAGAGGTAGACCTGCCATTTTGGTCTGGTTTAGCAAACATGCTCTGTAAACTGACTAGGTGTAAAGATACTGAATAGGTGTAAGAGGTATAGTGGGCTATTGGCAGTGCAGAGGAAGACCTATGTACCAGTTGTGCTAAAACCTGAGTGCCACAGAAGTTCTACATGGAACAGAGGGAATACAGGGGAGGCACATGTAACAGCTGGGAGGTGGGTTCCAGAGCAGAACTGTAGTATTTCAGCTCTATAAACCAGCTGTGTAACCTTGTTTATCAGTAAAATGTAATGAGGAAATTACCCAACAAGTATAGTTGTTTTTAAGATTAAATTAATTGCTTTTTGTGAAGTGCTTAGACTATTATGTGGCACATAAAAAGTATATGAGTGTATATTAATAAAATAAAAATTAAAAACTACTAGTAGTTCTGCACATGGCTTTCTAAGCATTAAATTCTACAACTAAAGCAGACTCTGACATGTTTCCTAAGCTTTCTCTTGCCTCCTTGGGCTTCTTTGGAGGAGCATTGATAATCCTCGTAAGCAGATTGTCAGGGACTCCACGCAGACATCAGTGCCTGCTTAATGGGCTGTAGATTTAGGGACTTCATCTCTCCTGCAGCTTGTTAGAGCTTAAAGCATCTGTTATTCCTTCAACTG